TAATTGTAGTGTCTGAAATAGCTGTTGTCGAAGAAAACCGTGATGTTGGTGATGTGAATAATGTCGTTGACAATGGAGAAGTTGCACCTGATGTTGACATCGTTTCTATATTGGAAGTTCTTGCAGTCGCTGATGTAAATGGTGTTGATAACAATGGAGAAGTTGTTGCTGCTGTTGAGACAGATTCAGTGCTTGAAGTTGTCGATTCTGAGGTAATGGTGGATGGAGAAATAGTTGCAGTGTCTGCCGTAGGTGTTGTTGAAGACAACGGTGATGTTGGTGATATGAATGATGTTGTTGACAATGGAGATGTTGCTGCTGTTGAAATCGTTTCAGTACTTGAAGTTGTAGCTTCTGAGGTAATGGTGGATGGAGAAATAGTTGTAGTGTCTGAAATAGGTGTGGTGGAAGAAAACGTTGCAGTCGGAGATGTGAATGGTGTTGTTGACAATGGAGACGTTGTTGCTGTTGTTGAGACAGATTCAGTGCTCGAAGTTGTCGATTCTGAGATAATTGTGGATGGTGAAACAGTTGTAGTGTCTGACATAGGTGTTGTGGAAGAAAACGTTGTAGTAGGAGATGTGAATGGTGTTGTTGACAATGGAGATGTCGCTCCTGATGTTGCCACCGTTAGTGTACTGGAAGTTGTTGCAGTCGCTGATGTAAATGGTGTTGTTGATAGTGGAGAAGTTGCTGCTGTTGAGACAGTTTCAGTGCTTGAAGTTGTCAATTCTGAGGTAATGGTGGATGGAGAAATAGTTGTAGTGTCTGAAATAGGTGTGGTGGAAGAAAACGTTGCAGTCGGAGATGTGAATGATGTTGTTGACAATGGAGACGTTGTTGCTGTTGTTGAGACAAATTCAGTGCTCGAAGTTGTCGATTCTGAGGTAATTGTGGATGGTGAAACAGTTGTAGTGTCTGACATAGGTGTTGTAGAAGAAAACGTTGTAGTAGGAGATGTGAATGGTGTTGTTGACAATGGAGATGTCGCTCCTGATGTTGCCACCGTTAGTGTACTGGAAGTTGTTGCAGTCGCTGATGTAAATGGTGTTGTTGATAGTGGAGAAGTTGCTCCTGTTGAGACAGTTTCAGTGCTTGAAGTTGTCGATTCTGAGGTAATGGTGGATGGAGAAATAGTTGTAGTGTCTGAAATAGGTGTGGTGGAAGACAACAGTGATGTTGGTGATGTGAATGATGTTGTTGACAATGGAGATGTTGCGGCTGTTGAAATCGATTCATGATTTGAAGTTGTTGCTTCTGAGGTAACGGTGGATGTGGAAATCGTTGCAGTGTCTGCCGTAGGTGTTGTCGAAGAAAACGGCGCCGTTGGTGAAGTTATTGATGTTGTTGACAATGGAGATGTCACTCCTGATGTTGCCACCGTTAGTATACTGGAAGTTGTTGAAGTAGCTGATGTAAATAGTGTTGTTGACAATGGAGAAGTTGCTGCTGCTGTTGAGACAGATTCAGTGCTCGAAGTTGTCACTTCTGAGGTAATGGTGGATGAAGAAATAGTTGTAGTGTCTGAAATAGGTGTTGTGGAAGAAAACTTTGTAGTAGGAGATGTGAATGGTGTCGTTGACAATGTAGGCGTTGTTGCTGCTGTTGAAACAGATTCAGTGCTAGAAGTTGTCAATTCCGAGGTAATGGTGGATGGAGAAATAGTTGTAGTGTCTGAAATAGGTGTGATGGAAAAAAACTTTGTAGTAGGAGATCTGAATGGTGTCGTTGACAATGTAGGCGTTGTTGCTGCTGTTGAAACAGATTCAGTGCTAGAAGTTGTCAATTCTGAGGTAATGGTGGATGGAGAAATAGTTGTAGTGTCTGAAATAGGTGTGGTGGAAGAAAACGTTGTAGTAGGAGATGTGAATGGTGTCCTCGACAATGTAGGCGTTTTTGCTGCTGTTGAGACAGATTCAGTACTCGAAGTTGTTGATTCTGAGGTAATGGTGGATGGAGAAATAGTTGTAGTGTCTGAAATAGGTATTGTGGAAGAATACGTTGTAGTCGGAGATGTGAATGGTGTCGTTGACAATGTAGGCGTTGTTGCTGCTGTTGAGACAGATTCAGTACTCGAAGTTGTCACTTCTGAGGTAATGGTGGATGGAGAAATAGTTGTAGTGTCTGAAATAGGTGTTGTGGAAGAAAACGTTGTAGTAGGAGAGGTGAATGGTGTCGTTGACAATGGAGACGTTGTTGCCGCTGTTGAGACAGATCCAGTGCTCGAAGTTGTTGATTCTGATATAATGGTGGATGGAGAAAGAGTTGTAGTGTCTGAAATAGCGGTTGTCGAAGACAACGGTGATGTTGGTGATGTGAATGATGTTGTTGACAATGGAGATTTTGCGGCTGTTGAAATCGTTTCAGTAATTGAAGTTGTTGCTTCTGAGGTAACGGTCGATGTAGAAATCATTGCAGTGTCTGCCGTAGGTGTTGTCGAAGAAAACGGCGCTGTTGGTGATGTTATTGATGTTGTCGACAATGGAGATGTCGCTCCGAATGTTGCCACCGTTAGTATACTGGAAGTTGTTGCAGTCGCTGATGTAAATGGTGTTTTTGACAATGGAGAAGTTGCTGCTGCTGTTGAAACAGATTCAGTGCTAGAAGTTGTCAATTCTGAGGTAATGGTGGATGGAGAAATAGTTGTAGTGTCTGAAATAGGTGTGGTGGACGAAAACGTTGTAGTAGGAGATGTGAATGGTGTCCTCGACAATGTAGGCGTTGTTGCTGCTGTTGAGACAGATTCAGTACTCGAAGTTGTCACTACTGAGGTAATGGTGGATGGAGAAATAGTTGTAGTGTCTGAAATAGGTGTTGTGGAAGAATACGTTGTAGTCGGAGATGTGAATGGTGTCGTTGACAATGTAGGCGTTGTTGCTGCTGTTGAGACAGATTCAGTACTCGAAGTTGTCACTACTGAGGTAATGGTGGATGGAGAAATAGTTGTAGTGTCTGAAATAGGTGTTGTGGAAGAAAACGTTGTAGTAGGAGAGGTGAATGGTGTCGTTGACAATGGAGACGTTGTTGCCGCTGTTGAGACAGATCCAGTGCTCGAAGTTGTTGATTCTGATATAATGGTGGATGGAGAAATAGTTGTAGTGTCTGCAATAGGTGTGGTGGACGAAAACGTTGTAGTAGGAGATGTGAATGGTGTCCTCGACAATGTAGGCGTTGTTGCTGCTGTTGAGACAGATTCAGTACTCGAAGTTGTTGATTCTGAGGTAATGGTGGATGGAGAAATAGTTGTAGTGTCTGAAATAGGTGTTGTGGAAGAATACGTTGTAGTCGGAGATGTGAATGGTGTCGTTGACAATGTAGGCGTTGTTGCTGCTGTTGAGACAGATTCAGTACTCGAAGTTGTCACTACTGAGGTAATGGTGGATGGAGAAATAGTTGTAGTGTCTGAAATAGGTGTTGTGGAAGAAAACGTTGTAGTAGGAGAGGTGAATGGTGTCGTTGACAATGGAGACGTTGTTGCCGCTGTTGAGACAGATCCAGTGCTCGAAGTTGTTGATTCTGATATAATGGTGGATGGAGAAAGAGTTGTAGTGTCTGAAATAGCGGTTGTCGAAGACAACGGTGATGTTGGTGATGTGAATGATGTTGTTGACAATGGAGATTTTGCGGCTGTTGAAATCGTTTCAGTAATTGAAGTTGTTGCTTCTGAGGTAACGGTCGATGTAGAAATCATTGCAGTGTCTGCCGTAGGTGTTGTCGAAGAAAACGGCGCTGTTGGTGATGTTATTGATGTTGTCGACAATGGAGATGTCGCTCCGAATGTTGCCACCGTTAGTATACTGGAAGTTGTTGCAGTCGCTGATGTAAATGGTGTTTTTGACAATGGAGAAGTTGCTGCTGCTGTTGAAACAGATTCAGTGCTAGAAGTTGTCAATTCTGAGGTAATGGTGGATGGAGAAATAGTTGTAGTGTCTGAAATAGGTGTGGTGGACGAAAACGTTGTAGTAGGAGATGTGAATGGTGTCCTCGACAATGTAGGCGTTGTTGCTGCTGTTGAGACAGATTCAGTACTCGAAGTTGTTGATTCTGAGGTAATGGTGGATGGAGAAATAGTTGTAGTGTCTGAAATAGGTGTTGTGGAAGAATACGTTGTAGTCGGAGATGTGAATGGTGTCGTTGACAATGTAGGCGTTGTTGCTGCTGTTGAGACAGATTCAGTACTCGAAGTTGTCACTACTGAGGTAATGGTGGATGGAGAAATAGTTGTAGTGTCTGAAATAGGTGTTGTGGAAGAAAACGTTGTAGTAGGAGAGGTGAATGGTGTCGTTGACAATGGAGACGTTGTTGCCGCTGTTGAGACAGATCCAGTGCTCGAAGTTGTTGATTCTGATATAATGGTGGATGGAGAAAGAGTTGTAGTGTCTGAAATAGCGGTTGTCGAAGACAACGGTGATGTTGGTGATGTGAATGATGTTGTTGACAATGGAGATTTTGCGGCTGTTGAAATCGTTTCAGTAATTGAAGTTGTTGCTTCTGAGGTAACGGTCGATGTAGAAATCATTGCAGTGTCTGCCGTAGGTGTTGTCGAAGAAAACGGCGCTGTTGGTGATGTTATTGATGTTGTCGACAATGGAGATGTCGCTCCGAATGTTGCCACCGTTAGTATACTGGAAGTTGTTGCAGTCGCTGATGTAAATGGTGTTTTTGACAATGGAGAAGTTGCTGCTGCTGTTGAAACAGATTCAGTGCTGGAAGTTGTCGATTCTGAGGTAATGGTGGATGGAGAAATAGTTGTAGTGTCTGAAATAGGTGTGGTGGAAGAAAACGTTGTAGTAGGAGATGTGAATGGTGTCCTTGACAATGTAGGCGTTGTTGCTGCTGTTGAGACAGATTCAGTACTCGAAGTTGTTGATTCTGAGGTAATGGTGGATGGAGAAATAGTTGTAGTGTCTGAAATAGGTGTTGTGGAAGAATACGTTGTAGTCGGAGATGTGAATGGTGTCGTTGACAATGTAGGCGTTGTTGCTGCTGTTGAGACAGATTCAGTACTCGAAGTTGTCACTTCTGAGGTAATGTTGGATGGAGAAATAGCTGTAGTGTCTGAAATAGGTGTTGTGGAAGAAAACGTTGTAGTAGGAGAGGTGAATGGTGTCGTTGACAATGGAGACGTTGCCGCTGTTGAGACAGATCCAGTGCTCGAAGTTGTTGATTCTGATGTAATGGTGGATGGAGAAAGAGTTGTAGTGTCTGAAATAGCGGTTGTCGAAGACAACGGTGATGTTGGTGATGTGAATGATGTTGTTGACAATGGAGATTTTGCGGCTGTTGAAATCGTTTCAGTAATTGAAGTTGTTGCTTCTGAGGTAACGGTCGATGTAGAAATCATTGCAGTGTCTGCCGTAGGTGTTGTCGAAGAAAACGGCGCTGTTGGTGATGTTATTGATGTTGTCGACAATGGAGATGTCGCTCCGAATGTTGCCACCGTTAGTATACTGGAAGTTGTTGCAGTCGCTGATGTAAATGGTGTTTTTGACAATGGAGAAGTTGCTGCTGCTGTTGAGACAGATTCAGTGCTGGAAGTTGTCGATTCTGAGGTAATGGTGGATGGAGAAATAGTTGTAGTGTCTGAAATAGGTGTTGTAGAAGAAAACGTTGTAGTAGGAGATGTGAATGGTGTCGTTGACAATGGAGACGTTGCTGCTGCTGTTGAGACAGATTCAGTGCTAGAAGTTGTCAATTCTGAGGTAATGGTGGATGGAGAAATAGTTGTAGTGTCTGATATAGGTGTTGTGGAAGAAAACTTCGTAGTAGGAGATGTGAATGGTGTCGTTGACAATGTAGGCGTTGTTGCTGCTGTTGAGACAGATTCAGTACTCGAAGTTGTTGATTCTGAGGTAATGGTGGATGGAGAAATAGTTGTAGTGTCTGAAATAGGTGTGATGGAAGAAAACGTTGTAGTAGGAGATGTGAATGGTGTCCTCGACAATGTAGGCATTGTTGCTGCTGTTGAGACAGATTCAGTACTCGAAGTTGTTGATTCTGAGGTAATGGTGGATGGAGAAATAGTTGTAGTGTCTGAAATAGGTGTTGTGGAAGAATACGTTGTAGTCGGAGATGTGAATGGTGTCGTTGACAATGTAGGCGTTGTTGCTGCTGTTGAGACAGATTCAGTACTCGAAGTTGTCACTTCTGAGGTAATGGTGGATGGAGAAATAGTTGTAGTGTCTGAAATAGGTGTTGTGGAAGAAAACGTTGTAGTAGGAGAGGTGAATGATGTCGTTGACAATGGAGACGTTGTTGCCGCTGTTGAGACAGATCCAGTGCTCGAAGTTGTTGATTCTGATATAATGGTGGATGGAGAAAGAGTTGTAGTGTCTGAAATAGCGGTTGTCGAAGACAACGGTGATGTTGGTGATGTGAATGATGTTGTTGACAATGGAGATTTTGCGGCTGTTGAAATCGTTTCAGTAATTGAAGTTGTTGCTTCTGAGGTAACGGTCGATGTAGAAATCATTGCAGTGTCTGCCGTAGGTGTTGTCGAAGAAAACGGCGCTGTTGGTGATGTTATTGATGTTGTCGACAATGGAGATGTCGCTCCGAATGTTGCCACCGTTAGTATACTGGAAGTTGTTGCAGTCGCTGATGTAAATGGTGTTTTTGACAATGGAGAAGTTGCTGCTGCTGTTGAAACAGATTCAGTGCTGGAAGTTGTCGATTCTGAGGTAATGGTGGATGGAGAAATAGTTGTAGTGTCTGAAATAGGTGTGGTGGAAGAAAACGTTGTAGTAGGAGATGTGAATGGTGTCCTTGACAATGTAGGCGTTGTTGCTGCTGTTGAGACAGATTCAGTACTCGAAGTTGTTGATTCTGAGGTAATGGTGGATGGAGAAATAGTTGTAGTGTCTGAAATAGGTGTTGTGGAAGAATACGTTGTAGTCGGAGATGTGAATGGTGTCGTTGACAATGTAGGCGTTGTTGCTGCTGTTGAGACAGATTCAGTACTCGAAGTTGTCACTTCTGAGGTAATGTTGGATGGAGAAATAGCTGTAGTGTCTGAAATAGGTGTTGTGGAAGAAAACGTTGTAGTAGGAGAGGTGAATGGTGTCGTTGACAATGGAGACGTTGCCGCTGTTGAGACAGATCCAGTGCTCGAAGTTGTTGATTCTGATGTAATGGTGGATGGAGAAAGAGTTGTAGTGTCTGAAATAGCGGTTGTCGAAGACAACGGTGATGTTGGTGATGTGAATGATGTTGTTGACAATGGAGATTTTGCGGCTGTTGAAATCGTTTCAGTAATTGAAGTTGTTGCTTCTGAGGTAACGGTCGATGTAGAAATCATTGCAGTGTCTGCCGTAGGTGTTGTCGAAGAAAACGGCGCTGTTGGTGATGTTATTGATGTTGTCGACAATGGAGATGTCGCTCCGAATGTTGCCACCGTTAGTATACTGGAAGTTGTTGCAGTCGCTGATGTAAATGGTGTTTTTGACAATGGAGAAGTTGCTGCTGCTGTTGAGACAGATTCAGTGCTGGAAGTTGTCGATTCTGAGGTAATGGTGGATGGAGAAATAGTTGTAGTGTCTGAAATAGGTGTTGTAGAAGAAAACGTTGTAGTAGGAGATGTGAATGGTGTCGTTGACAATGGAGACGTTGCTGCTGCTGTTGAGACAGATTCAGTGCTAGAAGTTGTCAATTCTGAGGTAATGGTGGATGGAGAAATAGTTGTAGTGTCTGATATAGGTGTTGTGGAAGAAAACTTCGTAGTAGGAGATGTGAATGGTGTCGTTGACAATGTAGGCGTTGTTGCTGCTGTTGAGACAGATTCAGTACTCGAAGTTGTTGATTCTGAGGTAATGGTGGATGGAGAAATAGTTGTAGTGTCTGAAATAGGTGTGATGGAAGAAAACGTTGTAGTAGGAGATGTGAATGGTGTCCTCGACAATGTAGGCGTTGTTGCTGCTGTTGAGACAGATTCAGTACTCGAAGTTGTTGATTCTGAGGTAATGGTGGATGGAGAAATAGTTGTAGTGTCTGAAATAGGTGTTGTGGAAGAATACGTTGTAGTCGGAGATGTGAATGGTGTCGTTGACAATGTAGGCGTTGTTGCTGCTGTTGAGACAGATTCAGTACTCGAAGTTGTCACTTCTGAGGTAATGGTGGATGGAGAAATAGTTGTAGTGTCTGAAATAGGTGTTGTGGAAGAAAACGTTGTAGTAGGAGAGGTGAATGATGTCGTTGACAATGGAGACGTTGTTGCCGCTGTTGAGACAGATCCAGTGCTCGAAGTTGTTGATTCTGATATAATGGTGGATGGAGAAAGAGTTGTAGTGTCTGAAATAGCGGTTGTCGAAGACAACGGTGATGTTGGTGATGTGAATGATGTTGTTGACAATGGAGATTTTGCGGCTGTTGAAATCGTTTCAGTAATTGAAGTTGTTGCTTCTGAGGTAACGGTCGATGTAGAAATCATTGCAGTGTCTGCCGTAGGTGTTGTCGAAGAAAACGGCGCTGTTGGTGATGTTATTGATGTTGTCGACAATGGAGATTTCGCTCCGAATGTTGCCACCGTTAGTATACTGGAAGTTGTTGCAGTCGCTGATGTAAATGGTGTTTTTGACAATGGAGAAGTTGCTGCTGCTGTAGAGACAGATTCAGTGCTGGAAGTTGTCGATTCTGAGGTAATCGTGGATGGAGAAATAGTTGTAGTGTCTGAAATAGGTGTGGTGGAAGAAAACGTTGTAGTAGGAGATGTGAATGGTGTCCTCGACAATGTAGGCGTTGTTGCTGCTGTTGAGACAGATTCAGTACTCGAAGTTGTTGATTCTGAGGTAATGGTGGATGGAGAAATAGTTGTAGTGTCTGAAATAGGTGTTGTGGAAGAATACGTTGTAGTCGGAGATGTGAATGGTGTCGTTGACAATGTAGGTGTTGTTGCTGCTGTTGAGACAGATTCAGTACTCGAAGTTGTCACTTCTGTGGTAATGGTGGATGGAGAAATAGTTGTAGTGTCTGAAATAGGTGTTGTGGAAGAAAACGTTGTAGTAGGAGAGGTGAATGGTGTCGTTGACAATGGAGACGTTGTTGCCGCTGTTGAGACAGATCCAGTGCTCGAAGTTGTTGATTCTGATGTAATGGTGGATGGAGAAAGAGTTGTAGTGTCTGAAATAGCGGTTGTCGAAGACAACGGTGATGTTGGTGATGTGAAGGATGTTGTTGACAATGGAGATTTTGCGGCTGTTGAAATCGTTTCAGTAATTGAAGTTGTTGCTTCTGAGGTAACGGTGGATGTAGAAATCATTGCAGTGTCTGCCGTAGGTGTTGTCGAAGAAAACGGCGCTGTTGGTGATGTTATTGATGTTGTCGACAATGGAGATGTCGCTCCGAATGTTGCCACCGTTAGTATACTGGAAGTTGTTGCAGTCGCTGATGTAAATGGTGTTTTTGACAATGGAGAAGTTGCTGCTGCTGTTGAGACAGATTCAGTGCTAGATGTTGTCAATTCTGAGGTAATTGTGGATGGGGAAATAGTTGAAGTATCTGATGTAGGTGTTGTGGAGGAAAACGTTGTAGTCGGGGATGCGAACAGTGTTTTTGACAAAGGAAAAGTTGTTGCTGCTGTTGAGACAGCTTCAGTGCTCGAAGTTGTTGATTTTGAGGTAATGGTGGATGGAGAAATAGTTGTAGTGTCTGAAATAGGTGTTGTGGAAGAATACGTTGTAGTCGGAGATGTGAATGGTGTCGTTGACAATGTAGGCGTTGTTGCTGCTGTTGAGACAGATTCAGTACTCGAAGTTGTCACTTCTGAGGTAATGGTGGATGGAGAAATAGTTGTAGTGTCTGAAATAGGTGTTGTGGAAGAAAACGTTGTAGTAGGAGAGGTGAATGGTGTCGTTGACAATGGAGACGCTGTTGCCGCTGTTGAGACAGATCCAGTGCTCGAAGTTGTTGATTCTGATGTAATGGTGGATGGAGAAAGAGTTGTAGTGTCTGAAATAGCGGTTGTCGAAGACAACAGTGATGTTGGTGATGTGAATGATGTTGTTGACAATGGAGATTTTGCGGCTGTTGAAATCGTTTCAGTAATTGAAGTTGTTGCTTCTGAGGTAACGGTGGATGTAGAAATCATTGCAGTGTCTGCCGTAGGTGTTGTCGAAGAAAACGGCGCTGTTGGTGATGTTATTGATGTTGTCGACAATGGAGATGTCGCTCCGAATGTTGCCACCGTTAGTATACTGGAAGTTGTTGCAGTCGCTGATGTAAATGGTGTTTTTGACAATGGAGAAGTTGCTGCTGCTGTTGAGACAGATTCAGTGCTGGAAGTTGTCGATTCTGAGGTAATGGTGGATGGAGAAATAGTTGTAGTGTCTGAAATAGGTGTTGTAGAAGAAAACGTTGTAGTAGGAGATGTGAATGGTGTCGTTGACAATGGAGACGTTGCTGCTGCTGTTGAGACAGATTCAGTGCTAGAAGTTGTCAATTCTGAGGTAATGGTGGATGGAGAAATAGTTGTAGTGTCTGAAATAGGTGTGGTGGAAGAAAACCTTGTAGTAGGAGATGTGAATGGTGTCGTTGACAATGTAGGCGTTGTTGCTGCTGTTGAGACAGATTTAGTGCTCGAAGTTGTCGCTTCTGAGGTAATGGTGGATGAATAAATAGTGGAAGTGTCTGACGTAGGTGTTGTCGTAGAGAACGTTGTAGTCGCAGATGTGAATGGTGTTTTTGACAATGTAAAAGTTTCTGCTGCTGTTGAGCCAGATTCAGTATTTGAAGTTGTTAATTCAGAGGTAATGGTGGATGTGGAAACAGTTGTAGTGTCTTTTGTAAGTGTTGTTGAAAATAACGTTCCTGTATGTGATAGTAGAGTTGTTGTTGACAATTTACTTGGTGCTCTCGTTGTTGACACAGATTCCGTGCTTGGAGTAGACAATGGCGAAACATTTTCTGTAGATGACTGGAATATTGATGTTGAAAAGCTATCGCTTCCTTTTGTTGTATATGCAGTTATGTTTGTTTTGAGTAATGAGGCAGGACTTGATTCACTTATTGAAGTTGTTGATGTAATGGTACATGTAGTATCCATACAAGCAGCTGTTGTGGATGCCATCGTTCCTGTTGATAATTATAACATTAACAGAAGATTATGTAAAACAAATTGTTGAGTATATTGCTTTTATTATGATTGGAATGTTTTTTTATAACATGCTAATAATCACTTATTACGATATTTTACTCATAGCAGATAAACAATAATAAACAAATATAAATTCAAGCCCTTTATCAATCTCATGAAGGCATCTCCATGCTATGTCAGTTCGTCGTGTGGGTTGTCTTACCATACTTCACATTACTTGTCAGTGGAGCTTTGGAAGGGGGGAATCGGGGTTGGACCTCGCTTTTGATGCTAGCCATAGTTGGAAATGTGATTCAGGTGGCTACGTTCATAGTGTGGTGCAATGATTATTGTGCCACCGCTCGACCAATAAAGCTGCAATTGCATTCACATTTTCAAACGCAGAGCCTTATGTTATAACGCATTCTAACATGTGATAGTATGCAATTCAGACAGTTGGATTGACTGAAAAATTAAATAAATGAAAACGGTATTAATTGAGTTTTCTTTTTTTAAACGTTGTACCTAAATTTGCCTCTCTGTATCTCAGTTTGTCTCTCTTTTTCAATTTTTTTCTGTAGATCCATCTCTGTGTATGTATTTGCAACACGCAAAGAGATGCAGTTGAAGTGATTAAATACATCTCTTTCTCTCTACTGTACAATAAATGTTGCACCCTCTTCGGCATTGATGAGCTTATATAAACATTTCAACAGGTTCAAACTGGGTGTTTTTAATACGTTGACTGCACATGTACTTTCTGAGATTGTTTTAACCAACTGAATCGTTGTTGGCTCAAAATATATTTGGTTAACCCGAATCATACCCGAAAATCAATAGATTATGCTTGCAAAACGCCACACAATAGTTTTTCATTGGTCTTACCCTATTTCTTAGCAGTAACGTATACTTTATTTTCCTGAGAAAGGATACTCTTAGAATACTATGAGATGGTATCCATCCTTAGGTGTAGCTACTAGAAATAGATAGCAAGTTTCAGTTTCATTTATTTGGTATAGCCCTGTGAGCCATTCGGCTCTTGAATCGGGTGCAACCGCAACAAAGAAAAAACAAAAACATGAACAAGAAAACATCTTAAAGTGACTATGTGACTTTGTGCAAACAGAAAATCAAAGAAAAGACAGCAAAATATTGCAGAAAAAGCACCGTACACCAACGCTGTGTGCAAAAATCCCAGTGAGATGCAAGTCAAACAATAACAACCATAAGATAATTTAGATAAAAGTTATCAGGCTAACTCTGTACTACAACAAACAAACATGGCTAAACCAAAACGTTTTCAAAATAACCACAATAAAGCTATAAAAACAATGTAACAGTGATCATAGGAACTGTGATTTAACTTTAACAATTAACGATATACATAACATGTACGACCAAACTTCGCAGCCATAGCTGGCTGCATGAGTCACTCCATAACAGCAGGAGTATCAGTAGCAGTATCAACAATTTTCAATACACCTTTAAAGATCAGCACACTATAATCAAAACTCAAGATCATACTTTGCAGCGGTCATCCGGAACGATACATTTGATTTCAGGCCATTCTGAATAGCAGTGGCAGCTAGGGGTGTACAACTCCTCTAGAGCAGTTTTGAGTGAAGATCTCACAGGTAGTGATCCAAGTTGCAGTTTATTGGCGATAGCATTCCAGACCCTGGGGGCATCAATAGAAAATGCCCATCCTCCAGTATTTGTACGGCAATAAGGAATGTGAAGCTGGTAAATGAGCGAAGACCTTAGGTCACATTTGTTCTTCGAAACAGTAATGAGATCCAGCAGGCAGTCTGCTGATTTTTTCGTAAGTACATTGTAAATTAATAAGATCTGATGCACAAGCCGTCGATCATTAAGATAAGTTAAGTTTGACCCAATGTAGATATTGCAGTGGTGGGTCCTATATGGGCAGTTCAATGCAAATCTTAAGGCCGAGTAAAGTACTGGGGGCTGCTTTATATACGATGTCACAATAATCAAGTAGAGTCAGTACGGTACTTTTTATCAATTCCAAGCGGAACATAGGGGGGAAGCAGTGCTTGTGTCGATACAGAAAACCAATTTTTTATTTTGTGTTTTTACCAATATAATCAATGTGATCTTGAAAATTCAGTTTTGAATCAAAGATGACCCCAAGATACTTATAGATCTTGACTTGCTCTATTTGATGATTATTTAAGGAATATAATTGGGGAAAAATAACTTCCTGCTTTAGTCGTGGTGAGAAGCATAGCACCTTGGTTTTGGAGGTACAGTATTCAGGACTAGTTTAAAAGCAACTAGCTGATGTTGTAGTTTGTTGAAATCACCCTGGAGCTTAGCAATCACGTCATCCGGAGAGCGGCCAGCAGTAATCAGTATCGTGTCATAAGCAAACAGATTTACCCTGGAATGATCCAGGTCAGTGCCTAAGTCATTGACATAAAGAGAGAACAAGAGGGGGCCGAGGATGGAACCCTGTGGAACCCCTTTTTGTTATCTTAACACTGTTTGACCAACCATCTGTGAAGGCAGTTTGGGTGCGAGAAGAGAGGTACATTTTTTAAACAATTCTACTGCGTGTTTGGAGAAACGGAGGCAACTTAGTTTACTAAGCGGGGTGTTGTGGTCCACTGTATCAAAGGCTTTGAACAAGTCAAAAAAAAGACTGGAGCAGTACTGCTTATTATCAAGGCTACTGTAAATGTGATTTAGAGAGTCTAACGCAGCAGATGTGGTGCTGTATTTTTTTAGGAACCCATATTGGTTTTGATGTAATAGATTGTTGTCGGACAGGAAACTGCTCATTTGGTAGTTTAATAATTTTTTTTAAATGTTTATCAACGGGGAAAAATTGAGATAGGTCGGTAGTTATTTGAATCATCTTTAGGGCCCCCTTTGTGAAGTGGACGAACATAGGAATTTTCCATTTCCATTCTTTGATGGACAGGTTGAAAATATGGGCTATAGGTTTGTATATTAGGTGACCAACAGTTAGCAGAGCAAAGACGGGAATACTATCCGCTCCGGTAGAGGAGGACCCTTTGAGGTAGGACAGTTGTTTCAGAACATTACTTTTGTGGATAGGCTGGAAACTAAATTCTTTAATGTTTGGACATGGGTGTAGGAAATTGCATGAGCAGGGGTGACTCCCAATACATTATCAAAAAGGTCACCAGCTTCAGAAAAATGAAGGTTAAAATTGTCGACTATTTTTTGGGGATCTGAAAAATAGTCCCCATTTCAGTTAAGCGCAACGGGCAGACTCCCTTCAACTCGGAGTCGAGTTGAAAGGAGCTAAGAGTGGGGGGCTCATGGGGTGTCCGAATTCGAGTTGGAAGGTGAGGGTGGGGGGCTCGTGGGGTGTCAGAGTCGCGTTGGAGGGAGCTGAGGGTGGGGGGCTCATGGGAATGGGGTGTCAGTCGAGTTGTATGGAGCCGAGGGTGGGAGGCTCCTGGGGTGTCAGAGTCGCGTTGAAAGGAGCTGAGGGTGGGGGGCTCCTGGGGTGACAGTCGCGTTGGAGGGAACTGAGGGTGGAGGCTCCTGGGGTGTTAGAGTCAAGTTGGAGGGGGCTGAGGGTGGGGGGCTTATGGGATGTCAGAGTCTCGTTGGAAGGATCTGATGGTGGGGGGCTCCTGGGGTGTCATAGACAAGTTGGAGGGAGCTGAGGGTGGGAGGCTCATGGGTTGTCAAAGCCCACGTGATAACTTTATTTGATTGCCTTTGTCGGATGGAGCGTTTAACGCAAAAAAATATGGACTTACATCTACACGATTAGCATGGTTGGCTACATTTGACGCGAAAGACGTTCAACATACACAAATACGCACGAAATTAACCAATTCTGATAGCCTCTATCAACAATCAATTTCAGTACAATTTCGCAAATAATGAAAAGCCTGCATTTGTTATAAATAATCAAAATGTATATATAGTCATAGATAGTGGCAACACATACAAGTCAATAAGAGAATAATTAATCTAAAACCGTAAAGTGCATCATAGAATAAAAAGAGAGGTATGATAAAACAGTGACAATCCTCAGCTAAATTTTTCATACTCTAAAATATGGAAAACAATTATTAAACAGATGAGAATATAGATCATAGATCACCATACAAAAACGGTTGAAGATAAACGTTGGCAGCGTGAAGGCATAAAAAATGATAGTGATTATTA